GGGTTCAGGGTTTGGCGTTTGGGCTGTGGGGTTGAGGGTTTAGCGTTTGGACTGTGGGGTTTGGGTTTTGGGGTTTAGGGTTTGGGGTTCAGGGTTTAGGGTTTGGGCTTTGGGGTTCAGGGTTTATGGTTTGGGCTTTGGGGTTGAGGATTTAGCGTTTGGGCTGTGGGGGTTTGGGTTTTTGGGGTTTTTGGGGTTCATGGCTCGGGGTTTGGGCTTTGGGGTTCAGTGTTTAGCGTTTGGGCTGTGGGGTTTGGGTTTTTTGGTTCAGGGTTTAGGGTTTGGGCTTTGGGGTTCAGTGTTTAGCGTTTGGGCTTGGGGGTTTGGGTTTTGGGGTTCAGGGCTTCGGGTTTGGGCTTTGGGGTTCAGGGTTTATGGTTTGGGCTTGGGGGTTTGGGTTTTGGTACCCAAATAGGACTTAGGGAGTTTAGGGTTAGTTTGTATAGGATGGGGCATATATGTTCTTCGCTTGGTGCTCCTGTCCCATGACGCAACCTACCTTATCCAATGTTGCGGCCAGGCATGTTGAACGACTACGAGCTGTCTGTGCTAAACCCCAAACTGCTACACCCTGAAGGCCCTGTCGGAGGCTTAGGGGTTGCTGGTTGTCGCACCTCCAGAAAGCTTATAAAAGACTTATAAGCTTACGAAGGCTCAGCTTCTCGCCCTCCGCCCAAAGTCCGGGACACCTCGGAGCGCACGAGCCTTCACAGGATTTCGTCATCTTCATGCAAAGCATGGCGCGGGCCTTGCACGAGAGCTCTTCCTTGGGGTCGGGAGGGCTGCGCGCTGCGAGTTGTTGATCGAGGGTGTTTGGCCTGGTCGGGCTCCTCAGCTTTCGTGGCTGAGAGCTGCTGGGTGTTTACAGGGCTTCGGATGGTTCTTGTAACTGGCCCGCGGGCTTTAACCGAAAGCCCCAAACCCCATAATGCAGGGGCCGTAATCATTAGAATAGGGTTTTGGGCGGTTCCTTACTATAGTCATAGTATAATATACCCCCAGAACCCTATTCTAACTATGCAGGCCCCTATATTATGCATGTGCCAAATCTCACATTGGGCTTGAAAGCCCTCCAGACTCGAGCCCTAAGTTCGAGTTCGAAGCACCCGAAAAAAGCAGGCGCACACCCGAAGTCCAGCTTTTCGGCTTACATTGTAAGGTATAGGGCTTTAGGGGAGAGCTTGGGGCTTGTATTATCAGGTACAGGGCACCCTAAACCCGAAACCCCTAAACCCTAAACCCTAAACCCCTAAACCCGTAAACCCCTAAACCCCTAAACCCGATCAGAACCCCGAAACTCCCGGGGAGGGCTTGTGTGGAGAGCCGCCGAGGTTGGTGAAACTCTGGAAGAGTGGTGGCGTTCACTGGGCCAGGTGGTCACCGGAAAGGCCTCCAGTGAGTATCGGGTTGCCTCTTTGTGAGAGCGGGAGTCTAGGGTTTAGGGTTTAGGGTTTAGGGTTTAGGGCTTAGGGTTCAGGAATGTTGCTGGGTTTGAAGGCTTGGGGTTTGGGAGTTAGAGGGGTTGGTGGTTCAGGGCTTGGAAATGTCAGTGTTCAAGGTCCGGTGTTCTTGAGGTGGCTTCTGCTGTTTGAATTCTGCCTCATGCCCTCAACCGTCCGTACTTTCTTGAATCGGGGGTTGCAGGGCTCGGAAGTCAAGCAAAGAAGTACTTGCCCTTTGATACCAAGTCACGCCACGAATGAAGACTGTTCGGTGGGGAATTTTGAGATTTCGGGCCTCCTAACCGGGACTAGAAGAGAGGACTGGACTAGTTGTACAAGGACCAGTACTATCACCTGTACCCGTGTTACTAAGGACGAGCAGTAGTGTTGCTGATGGCCAGCAAAGCTAGCGGGCAGTGCAGCAGTACTTGTACGACTATGACTGGCTGTGTCGTTCTCCATGGCTGGCTAGCTAAGCCCTGAACCGCAAACCGAACCAGAAGTCTCATCCCTAACTAATATAGAAGCCTAAATTATTGCCTATACTGTTTTGGGGGTTCCGTATTATAAGTATAGTAGACTCTACCGCAAAACCCTATTCTAATTAGTGAGGCCCCTACCTTGACCCTGAAACGGGACCTAAGATCTAAAGTCCCAAACCTGATTTGAAGACTTCAGAGGTTTGCTGCGATGGTCAAGTCCAAGACACCCTTCCGAGCCTGGACTCCGACGATATCATAGAAGGGCCTTTAGGGCTTAGGGTCTAGGGTTTAGGATTTAGGGTTTAGGGTCCAATACTATTTTTGGGGGGTTCCTGATTATAATTGTAGTCTGACATACCCCAAAACCCTATTCTAATTGTTAAGGCCCCCACATTAGAAGGCTTTTGTAGGGATTTGGGTGCACGGTCTAGAGCCCAGGGCTCATTGCTCGCATGCCTGCCCTGTAACAGTTCACAGCACCCTCCTTACGATTGAGGGTTTAGGGTTTAAGGTGAAGCCAAGACGTTAATACGCCAGACCTCAAGTAATTGCACCCAGCACCTCGAAAGTTGAATACAGGGGTCGGAGACATCCGTCGGTATATGCCCTTGTAGTCGGACCCCTTTATGCCTAGAGTATAATCCGGTCTTTTAATCCTTCAGGCCCCCATATCAAGTTTCCGAAAATAGGGGACCCTAATAGACTGCCCTCAATACTTAGTAGGATCCTTATAATAAGGATCCCAAACTAAGGTACCCCTTATTTTCGGAAACCCCATATGAACATCGCAGTGAACCTCTCCCCTGGGGCAGGTGAGCCGCGTGCAGTGGAACGATGCTTGTAGGCCTGGATGTCCTTGCACGTGGAAGATTCGGGTTGAGGCGTTAGGGGTTTTAGGGTTTTGGGTTTTAGGGTTTGGGCTTTTTTGGCTTTGGGATGTTCGGAGAGGGCCAACAAGCAGTATCTAAGACTGCACCAAGAGTTGCTCATTATGTAGGGCGGTGTGGGCCCTGGAAGAGCAGCATGATGCCACCGTCCTGTTCGGCAACTGAACTCGGGCTTGGCCCAGAGTTGGGATGTGAGGAGGAAGTGTCATATACAAATCACACAGTGGATGATCCCATGTCAAAATTACCTTATGTACATAGACATATATATATATATATATATGGAAAGCTTAAAGATGCAGACTCCATGCCCACTCTGTTAAGGCCTCAACTTCCACCCTTGCCAAGTGCTGCCATTCTCAAACGGAAGTCCAAGGTAAACGTCAGGAGAGATGGCAAGCTATGCCCTTAGGGGAACCCCTAAAGGACTTCCTTTGAAGGCACCGTTGAAAGGCACCCTTCAGGATTTAAGAGGTGTTGGGTTTCGAAGTTTAGGTTTGAAAGGTTTGGGAGGGTTTGGGGGCCTGAGCTTCACCCTGAAGCCCTAGCCCTTGATCCATTGCTGCCGAGACCTAAGCCTTCCACTCCGAAAAGTAGAATGACAGCACAGATAGCCACGGCAACAATGATAGTAGAATTTATACCATTCGAAAGTAAACAAAGCACGAACAACAGTATTAAGACAGTTACGAACAGTAATATAAATCAAATTAATACTGATGACATCGTTCGGCGATAATAGGCATACTGGGTAGGTTCAGCCGAGAAACTAGACCGACCGACGGGCCAAGCCGGTCCCAGGAAATAGTTTCAACAAGTCCCAACGAGAGTTTAATAAGAAGCCCTATAATGTAGGTGCCTAAATAATGACCTACACTATTTTGGTGGCTCCTTATTATACTTATAGTATAATGGGCCCCAAAACCCTATTCTAAATATAAAGAAATATATATATATATATAAGGCCCCTACATTCAGCCTCAACCCGAAAAGCCCGAAACAGTTTCGGCCGATGGTCGGAGTGCAGAGCTGTGTGAGGATGCGCGGCTTCTACGGCAACAGCACCCAGGTCTATCGGCTCCTTGAAGAGGCTGAGTCTTGAGCTTAGGGTTTAGGGCTTCGGGTTTAGGGCTTAGGGTTTAGGGTTTCGGGTTTAGAGTTTAGGGCTTAGGGTTTAGAGTCTAGAGCTTAGGGCTTAGGGTTTGGGGCTTCGGGTTTAGAGTTTCGGGTTTAGGGCTTAGGGTTTAGGGTTTGGGGTTTCGGGTTTAGGGTTTCGGGTTTAGGGCTTAGGGTTTAGGGTTTCGGCTTCAGAGTTTAGGGCTTAGGGTTTAAGGTCTAGGGCTTCGGGTTTAGGGTTTCGGGTTTAGAGTCTAGAGCTTAGGGTTTAGGGTTTCGGGTTTAGAGTTTAGGGCTTAGGGTTTGGGGTTTCGGATTCAGGGTTTAGGGTTTAGGGAGTCTTGGGGGTCCGGGCATTATGGTTTAAGGTTATAGCAAGTGCCAAGCGCTTTATGTGCCAATAGGATTTGACCGAAACGTTTTGGCTGAAAGTTTCGGTCAAGAACTCTTGAGAGTGTTGTTTCTTTTGGCACCTGCTTTCGCATTTGGGGCGGCGATGCGAGCCGGCCTGAGATAGTCATCCGGCAGCGCCCTTAATGGGAGAGGTCAGGTACTTGCTGAAATCGACACACTAAGCCCGAGTTCAGACCCCCTACACACTAAACCTTCAGAAGCCCTAAGGCCGTTTCTGCGAGCCCTCCACCCAATCCAAAACTCTAGAACCCACTAGCCCGTTTGTAGAACCCTAAACCGACCCGAAACCTACAAACCCTGAACAGCCCGCAGCCCCACACCCGCCCCGAGCCCAGCCCCAAAGTCAAAATCAGGTTCCACGTTTCGCTCAAAATAGAGAGAGAATTAATTTCGCTGCCTCCTCGAGGAAGGATTTCTCGAATGGTACTGATACCGTCCTTCAGACCGTCGTAAAAGTCGTGCCAGCAGCCCATGTTCCCATGAATGTGGTTCAGCCTCGCATGCTCGTCTCCCATCGAGAAACAACAGGTTGGGCGTGCCCTTAGATAAGTTGCGGCGGGAGTGACAAGTTCAAGCACAAAGTGGACAAGCCACCCGCCTCAATTCCAAAGTTCCCAACAGGACGATGCCGAGACCATTACCTGGACTGAATTTCAAGCGCTGCGCAAATTCGCTGCGTGAGGAAAAGTGAGCAGTCGGAGTTCCCGTGCTCAGGTGGAAGCCACAACTGCGTAAGATGTGACATCGAATGTCCACAGGCTAGACATATATATATATATATATATCATATATATCATATATATCATATATATATCATATATATATATATATACAATTGTATATTATATATATATATACTATATCATATATATATATATAATTATATATCTATATATGTATATATATATATGTGTATATATATATATATTATGTATATAATGCATGCAGAGTGTAGCGGGTACTTTGTAAGACTCTGTATTTGAGATTTGGGACGTGTGCGTATTTTTCGTGACATCTGTTTTTTGCGGTTCTAGCCTGTCTGTTCATACATGTGTGCATGTGTCCACTTTTCATGTTCGAGCATGTGTCTTTCATTCAGTTCCGCTTTAATGCAAAATCCGATGTGCTCTAGACATACACTTCGATGTCACACGAAAATCGCACGCGTCTATTTTGCTATTGATGCAGGACTCCAATCAGCCCTAGAATCAACCGACTCAGCACCACGATCATTCCTCGGAGCTTCGCTATCCACCTGACGATCTTGCAGCCATTGCGTTTACCATGCGGATAAGCACGCTTCCAGAACAAATTGACAACACCTCAACACGGTCTCCCTAAACCCTAAACTGAAAGACAGCATCTCTCGAAGGATCTGCAGCCACCTTGCCCAAGTGTAGAAAACCAAAGAATGGTGCAGAAGCTCTGACAAAAGGCCAGAACTGAACCGCATCCACGCTACCTCCACATAGCCTTCAGCTCCTGGCAATACATTCTGTAGACAGGACTGACACTGACACGTCGAAGTGAAACCCAAGCAGCAACGGCTACTTCCGCAAACCAGTGAACCACCTAACCAAAAAGCTGAAACACGCGAAAGAACCTGTTCACTCATGTTTACGTGGGTCAGTATGAGTAGCTTAACAATTTAATTGATTCGGGAAGGAAAACGTGGTGCCAAACATCCGTGGTGTCTTAAGTCTTAAACCCCTTCAGGCCGACAGGGGCCCATACAGGTCAGGTTGACTCAACGGTGGCTCTTGCATGGGTTATCTGGTGCAATGAATAAGTTGGTCAGCGGAATGAGGATTTCAAGATTTGGTGAGTCCAGTCCCGCATTTAGCACCTGGACTGTGCATCTCCCTCGGCTGCATTGCGATTGTGTAGTGGGGGGTACTCTTCTACATTGGTCCTACTCTCTCAGCGTCCTGCTAAGAATACTATGCATGTGGATGCTCAAGCATGTATTCGGAACACCACTTGTGACAACCGTATGGAAGATACTCGTTGTCACGCGAAAATCACACTGTTCAAAAGTAACCTTACAAGTCACACTTGGCAGCCTTGCACCATCTCGAGCTATGCTATGACAAGCAAGGTGCGGAGCACGACTTCAATAACAAGCATAAACGTAAATCGTCCATAGTAGGCATTGGTCTAGGCATTATACTAGCAATGATTGTAAACTGTTGGAACCTACAGCAACACTGGGTTAGTTGGTTTATGCAAAAAGTCGACTGGTTTTTGCGCTTCTTGTTCCGTCTGGGAGAATGGTTTGCAGTACACTCTAAGGAATACCCAACATTTGCAGGGTCCAGAAGGTATTGCCGAATTCCAGCTTCCGGGGTCCTGACTTGCAGCATCCTGTCTTATAGGAATTCCAATGTGCATGGTCTTTGGTTTACCTCATTTTTCTACAAAACATGGCCAAAGGGCATTCTACGGGATCCCGCTTTTCGGCAAGCATCTTAGGAATTCGACTCTTCAGATTTCGGCAAGTCTGTGGGGAATCGAATTTGCAAGATCTCGTGATTGCCAAGCTATTTCCTGCTGTGCGACTGACTATTGCGGATTGCTACTTGGTGGTGACAATGCTGGTCTTAGTCGTGCTAGATGCAGTTGCCGTGGTCGTGGTAACAGTGCTGGTGGTGCTAGTGGCTGTGGTGTTATTGATGGTAGTGGTCGTTGCGGTTGTGATCGTCGTGGTCGTAGCGGCCGTAGTGGTCGTCGTGGTCGCGGTGGTTGTGGAGGCGGCGGGGGTGGCGGCGGTGATGGCGGTGGTGACAGTGGTGGTGTGGTACTGGCGGCACTGGTGGTGGTAATGGTGGTAATGGTGGTAATGGTGGTAATGGTGGTAATGGTGGTGGTAATGGTGGTAATAATGGTAACGGTGGTAATGGCGGTGGTGGCAGTGGTGCCGGTGGTAATAGTGGCAGTAGTGTTAGGAAAAGCCGTTGTTAAAGTGGTAAGAGTGGTTAGAGCAGTCAGAAGAAATCCAAGCGCCGTACAAGGAGAGGCACAATATCAGCCTTAAGACTTGTAACAGTGGCACGGTAGCCAAAGAAAATAGCAAGAGTAGTAGTAAATTAGCGCACGCCAGTAGTAGCAAGAGTTGTACGACGAGAGCAGCAAGAACAATCAGTAAAGCAGCCTCGCCGCTACAGTCCGTGGAGCAACATTTATTTGTGTTAATTAATGAAGCGGCGCACAGCTTGGGCTAGTTTGACTTGGCTTTGCTTCAGCAGCCGCGGTCGGCTGAGGGGGATGCAGAAGCTGTGTTGGAGCTGCTGCTGAAGGCAATCAGGAACCTGTCATAGCAAAAACCTTGTTATGAATGTTGACAGAATCTGCTTCGAGAGCTGTTTGAAGTTATGTTTCGGAGTCACCGTGAAGGCCCTCGACGGAACAGTTCTGTGAAATCCACGTTGGATGGACAGTATGGATCATGTCATCAGCGGCCATGCTCAGCTCGGTCCTCCTCCACCTTCTTTTCACCACTACCTCAGCTCGCCACATGCAGCACTCCCTATGAACCAGCTTGGAGGTTACCACACTGCATTTCTAGTGAGACGCGGAGCCGAGGGTTCCCAAGTGCTGACCTGTGAGTTCGAAGACCCCAAAGCCTAAAATCCTCCAAGCGACGGACATAAAAGTCGTTTTCAGGAATGCCAGCATAGTACGAGATGAGAGGCAACCTGATCCAGCGTGGTTCAAGATTCCAAGTTCGGTGGCGACTTTCTCAAATCCTCTGAGACCAGTACCTCTGGCCCATCCATGTCTCTAAACGCTGGCAGTGGCTGTAGATGCCTCAAACGCAGCATTATTTGGACTGCTGGACCTGGGCCTGAGATGGAGACTGCGAGGATACAACTAGACACCTGATGCACGACAGCTCAAGACGACAAAAGCTACTAAACGAGGGAAAGCAGTAGGCTAACCCTCTGGACGATCCGATTATGGAATGAGGTGTTCCTGGCTCTGTGCTAGCGATATGAATCGCAAGCTTGGGTGCATTGGCTTACTGTGCTCCCCTTTCATAAACCCTTCTGTGAATCCTGACTAAACCCTGCATAAACCTTCTACAAGTCCTCATATGAACTTCTCGATAATGGACTTCTCCATTAACTTCGCTATAAACATCTGTATAGACCATCACTCTTCCATAAACCCCTTCTGAAATCCCTTCCGTATACCCTTCCACAGCCCCTTCTCATGCTTGCCCCAATGTGCTCGTGCGGTTCAAGACCACGGCCAAAGAGCTTCCCCCAAGTACTTTCGGATTCAAAGACATGATCGCAATCAATGCTTCTGTTGAGGTGCTGGCGAGATTCGCAGAGCAGACCACAAGACCAAAATCCTTCCCCCAAGTACTCGCAGGATTTCACGCACTTATGGCTAAAACGTGACACCACCCACAAATCGTCACGACACCACAGACGAAGCGCGATATGGCACTGTTAGACTGGTTCCCAGGCTGCGGACACGCTCGGTGCACAGAGACGGTTGCCAAACTCTAGGACAAATCGTCACGGGACCACACGTGCGGTGCGCGATGGAAGACGCTGGTAGCAGAAGAGGTTTCTCAAATCCGAGGACAAATCGCCACGGCACCTCTTGGGCAGCCCCATTCTACGGCTTTCAGCGACCCCAGCTAGAGCCCTGTCACATGTGTTCGGCAATCCAAATTAGAAACGATATTGAACTGGACTAAGACTACGACGACTGCGAGATTCAAGGCAACCTCTTGAGAACCTAGTGCCAACCAGCAGTGAAGACGCATGCATGGCTCGCGACCATCTGAAGAGACAACATGACATCAACATCACCACAAACGTCACCACATCATGCCATCCAAGCCACCTCCATCCACCTCCAATCGACAAAACATTCGCTGACTTGCGGACTTTCGGCAAAAAGTTCGCAAGTCACGAAAGGCTTCCAAGACCAAACGACAAGTCATGATGAAACGGCAGTAATGCCTTCCGCCTCACGGACCGAGACAAACAGAAGACTTGACTCACATATTGCTCATTGGTTCTAGATTGCAAACAGGCCACCATTTGCTCTATTCGATGCCTTCAGCTGTGCAGTCCAGTTGATAGGGACTTACTGGAACAACGCACTGAGATTGGGAGAAGGACAACACACCTTGACTACAAATTACTTTGCCTACACAGGCCTGTGCTGCCACAAGACATCAGAAAACAGCGTTCAGCTTGCTAAAAGAACGTTCATCTAGAGGTGGACGTTGTAACACCAGTCTTTGTCGGCCGACGGTAGTTATGTGCCTTGCATCAAACTCAACTTCCTGCTACAGCAACAAGCGAACGGAGAGTCACGTCCATCTTACTATTCATCTGCCAAAGCCGAGAGACAGCAAAAAAGCAGATCTGCCGAGGGAGCCGCACCTGTAACTCGAAGCTTTGAGTCCAACGAACTTGTTTGACACATGCCTCGACCGAACGGTAAGCGTCACGGTGTCAAAACTGTCTGGTCAGCATGAATGAGACGCTGTTTCAACAAGGCGCACTCAAAACGAGTCTTTCTGCCAAGCTGGATCGAGCCGTGGAACATACGGAGCCACACAATCACATGCAAGTCTCCAAACTGTGGCGCATCTCGAATGCATCTCAGCACTCCAATCCCCGAGTGCCTTCCTCGAAGACAACCTTGCAAGTTGCAGAGTTTATATCAGAATCAGAATCCAATTGGACTGGAAGATGTTGCTGCTACAGGCACAAGCGGGTAGCCAGCACTTTTGGCTTCCATATTCTTGGAAGACGAAGTGTTGCTCACGGCCGCCACCACAGCCGGTCTGGAAAGTGGTAAGTTGAAGCGCGAGACTACGGTGATCCGATCCACAACAACCACGGAGCTTGATGCACGTTATTTAAGACACTACTTGTTGTGCAAGATCTGCTGGAGTGCTGCATGTACTCATGATGCCGAAACCATTTTGCGAACAAAAAACGTCGCAAGGTCTGAATCCCACCCACCCAACATGGTGCGAAAGGCATCCACCTCGAGTTCTCTACGTTGCTGCGGACAGTCTCAAGCTGCAACTTGCCAAGTCACGATTCAAGTCCCTCACACGACTCGCCAAATGGTTGGCGCTTCGTCACGCACTGCTGCAGTCGATTTTCTTGATTCTCTTACTTTTCCTGATGCCTTGAGGCCCCGCATCCAAGGCTGCTGCCCAAACGAGACATTGACTGCACGCCGCAGATCTTGGTCCCGACGCAGACACCAATTTTTAAAGCAAATAATGTCAAACGTGTGTAAACGTCCTACAGTGCGATGGGGGTGTATTGTTGTAGGTCCACCAGAGGCTCTCGAGTCGGCAACAACACCAGCGGCATGCTCATGCCAGATGAACCACAGCCGAGACGGGAGGAACAACATGAAAAACAAACTCAAGAATTAAGCCACCTCAGTGCACTTCTGAGGTTTCAGATTCTCACGCCAAACATGTATTGTGCTCATCTCGGCCTGGCAACAGGGGCATTTGGCGCCATGCAGAGGTCCGGCCACTGGCTGCAGACGTGCTCCATCATCCGATCGCCTACAAAGTCAAGAACTCCGGCACTTCTAGGTTTCAGGTCAATGTCTGGCCTGTTTCTCCAGCCCTCTGCTGCTGCGAGAACGCAACCCCTTGACAAAAACAACGAAGCAACGTTCAACGGAGAGCACTCGAAGGGAGAATGGTTTCACTCGGCGCTGCGCTTTCCTCCAACATTAGCTAGTCTTAATGCTTGGAAAATTGCTTCTTCACTGACAAACCCCCGGTCCTGTGTAGTGCGAGCCCACGTCCAGGAAAGCAAATGTTACCCCAAGGTCTTCACTGACAAACCCCCGGTCCTGTGTAGTGCGAGCCCACGTCCAGGAAAGCAAATGTTACCCCAAGGCGTCCATCGGACAGATCTCAGTGGCATCATATTTGGCAACTGTTGTGATACAGTCAAAGGCTCAAGCCTCGAGTTCAAGTTTTTTGTGCTGCCAAGGTCTGGGAAATCTTCGGGCACAACAGGCTGCATTCAGAGCCGCGAACGCGCTTTAGGGTCGCAACCGACCAAGATGTTATACCCTTTCGCTCCGGCTGAGCCCAGAACACCGACTGAAAAACGCCCCGGGACCCAGTGGATTGCACGAGATGTGTGTTGGCTCGATGAGCCTGTCGATAAGTCTTGCAAATGCGCTCCTCCAACCCTCTCACTCGTCAGCCCACCAAGCATATATGTTCTCGTCAATGTTCCCTCCCCTGTGCATTTGTGTGGCAGTCGCGATTTGTCCAGGTGTGGGTGTGTGGGTGGGTGTGTGGTGTGTAGGTTTGCAGGTGTGCGGGTGTGCGGGTGTGTGGGTGTGTGGGTGTGTGGGTGTGTGGGTGTCCAGTATTCGCACTTCGACTAAAGCTCCGTTAGGTGCTGTAATACTACTTGCTGCTAGCTTCGAACCTTTATCGTCGAACTGGCAACAGGATTGCGTGTTTTAGCGCTGGCACATATTACACACCAGTTTATTGCTACTACGGAATGCTTAGACAGGGGGTGCAAGCCTGCACGGCACGGTGGCACCTAACGCTGCCAAGCGGCTCAGAAGAAAAGATGGGATTTCGATCTTGGCCATGCAGGAAAGGCAATGCTGTCAGGCTTCTTGAGAACATCACAACCAGCATCGGCTGGTCACACAGTGAAGAGACGCTATGGGACATTGCATGGCAAAGATATGCAGCGATTTTGACACCCTTCCAAGCTAGGCGTGGCGCATCCACAGCCGGGTGGTAGACCAGGCTCACTGCCTCACCAGCTTTTGCTCGCGGCGGTTTTTATTTCACCATACTGAGCAGCTGTGCTTGGCCGAAGGCATCGATTCTGCGCCATTACGAACCATGCTCAACGAAAACCGAATCTCCCAGAAGATGCAAACAAATTAAACGGCCAAAGGGCACGAATGAAGGGCTTCGCTTCAGCTTGCGACCAAGCCTGCCACCTTCGATAAGGACCTCCGAAAGGAGGACGGAAAGCCACGTAATCACCGACAGAACGACAAGGAGACATTATTGCTCTTTCATCTGTGGTCGCAATAATGTTATCATGCTGATGATGATGATGATGATGATGATATTGATGACGACGATGACAACACCGATGAGGATGAGGATGATGATGGTGATGATGATGATGATGATGATGATTTGGTTGATGATATTGATGATGATGATAATGGCGGTGATGCTGATGATGGTGATGACAATTATGACGATTTGCTTGATGGTGTTGTGATGATGGGGGTGATGCTGCTGATGATGATGATGATGATGATGACGATGACAACACCGATGAGGATCATGATGGTGATGGTGATGATGATGGCGGTGATGAGGATGATTATGATGATGATGGTAGTCGATGTTGATGATGTTGATGACGACATCAACGTGACGATGACGACGATGATGATAGTCATGGTGATGAAGATGATGGTGATGATGATGACGATGATAAGGATGAGCATGATGATGATGATGACCATGATGGTGATAATGATGATGCATCCATATAAAGGGAAGAGAGAGAGCGAGAGAGAAAAAAGGACAGAGAGAGAGAGAGAGAGAGAAAAAGCGAGAGAGAAAAAGAGCGAGAGAGAAAAAAAAGAGAGAGAGAAAAAGAGAGAGAGAGAGAGAGAAAAAGCGAGAGAGAGAGAGAGAGAGAAAAAGAGAGAGAGAGAAAAAGAGAGAG